GACAGTGTAAGACATGAAAAAAATAATAATAATTTATAAATTATGAAGAGTTCGTGTGGGAGAGGGAAGGGAAAAAATGAGGAGCTGATATCAAGGGCTCAAGTAGAAAGAAAATGTTTTGAGAATGATGATGGCAACAAATGCATAAATGTGCTTGACATAATGGATGGATGGATGGATTGTGATAAGAGTTGTATGAGCCCCCAATAAAATGATTTTAAAAAGAAAGAAAGAACAAACAAATCTGTCTTGGAAGAAGTATATAGCTAGAGTGTTCCTTATAGGCCGGGATGGCAAGACTTCATCTTATATACTTTGGACATGTGGCATCATGCTTTCATCATTTTAAAAAGAAGCAGGTTCCTGAGTCCCATCTACTAGACATTCTAAGCCAGTAAGTCTGGGGAAACGGAAGTCTACCTTTCTAATCATGTAAGCTAATGCTAGTACAGGCCACTGACAGAATTCTTTAATGGTGATGGTTTCTTGGTTTCATGGTTCAAATTACCAAGCATGGCCTTAAACACAGATAACATGGAGTTTAGCATGGAATATTATTCCTGTTAGGATTGAAAACTCTTTCCTAAATTGCCCTTTTGTATGCCTCTTATAATACTTTTCTCTTTTCCTTTCTTAATACCTTTCTTCCTTTCCTTCCAAGATTTAAAAGTAGAATTCCTTATAATTCTCTTCTACTTGGTTTATTGCCTAGACTCCACAAATTGAGCAAAACTGTATAGCTTTGCAACTATATGCAGAAGCTAAGGCCTCATATTTCACGTTATCTTTTAGGCCGGTGGCTGTTAGCTGAGCCTTTTCCCTTCCTCAGATTGCAGAAGAAGAAATATGAAGGGAGGAGAGGAGAGTGGTTCTTTCCCATCTCTACCTTTCTTGTTTTCCCATTCAACACCAGCATATGATAAAGAAATGAGATATCTCGGTGCATCGGCCACGGCAAAAAAACAAAGAAATAGCTCTACAACAATCGCATGAAAACCCTATAAATCTTCTTTTCTAAACATAGGGGAATACTTTTCCAGAGTCTTATGAGATTTTTTTTTTTTTTTTTAAAGAAAAAGGCTTCTTTCATAAGAGAAATCCCTATGGTAGTCCCTTAAGGCAGAAGTTGGTTGAATTTAAATACAATGATTCCCGTTAACAATTCCCATAAGATCTGGAACCTCTTCAAGGCCTTTGGAAAGATACTATATTTCGTACCACACTATTTTACAAATGGAACATAAATGGAACAAATGTGTATGGTTTCAAACAAAGAGTATATGTTGATTCTATGTTAAAATAAAATGTAAAACATTTTTTTTCTATCTTCATTCTGGTTTCTGGCAGTGAAATTAGGATTTTGAGTTTTAACTATCTTTTATTTTAAAAAAGGAACTACATGAATAGTTGCTCACATACACATGCTACTATCACTATCAACATGGCAGCAGTACTCTAAAGCCCTAGAATGAATAAACAACAATTGCACACAAAAAATCTAACTGTTTCCAGTATTTAAATAAAGTACACATATTTAAATAAAGTACACAAAGATACACACACAAAAAAAACACAACTGTCAGTCAGCTTTACACTTTCTAAATCCAAAATTCACTGCTGTCATCGACTCTTTTCTGACCCATAGTGAACCTGTCCAGAAAACCAATCTCACTGCCATCGAGTCAGTTCTGATTCATAGTGATCCTATGGGACAGGGTAAAACTGCCCCTTTGGGTGTCTGAGACAGTAACTCTTATGGGAGTGGGTGGTTGCAAACTGCTGACCTGCTGGTTAACAGCCCAACTCATAAGCTCTAGGCCACCAGGACTCCTATGCATGTAATCCTGTTTGAAAATAGGGTCTTTTGTGCTATGTTAATTAGATCATTGACGAATAGGCTGGGTTCTAAATCTAATCCCCTCTGAGTGATAAAAAAGCAGATTAGACATGGAGGATACCACTCACTGAGAAGACAGATGCTTGGTGAGGATAACAAAGGGACCGAGGAACACCCAGAGCTACCACCAAGCAAGGATCCAACCCGAAACTCTGATTTGGACTTTGGGCCACCAGAACTATGAGAAAGTAAAATTCTTTCCTTTAAAGTCACCCATTTGGCAATATTTCTGTTACAGCAGCACTGGCACACAACTTAGTGTATACATATGTCAAAATATACCAAACTGTATGCTTTACAAAACTGTATGTCAATTATATACTTCAATAAAGGGATATAAACATATAAGTATTTATTTAACAGATACTTCATACACGTGTATAGAGTGATAAAGTGGATGAAAATAAAAACCGATACTAAGAACAGCATAATGCTGAGAATGAATTTAACTGGGAGCCTCATGTTCCACAGCATTATTTTCTGGACCAGAAAATATAAAGGGCAAGAAGAAATAAAGAGGAATCAGTTATCATAAAGAAAAAGCTCACTTCCTGGTATGAAGTTATTTGAAGGGCTTTTTAACCCAAGGTTCTGAAATGCACAATTGCTGGCCCAATTTATAAGCACTCTTCTTTCTCCACAATTCTCTACCAGCTGCATCCTTTCTCTGAGCTCAGCTGAGAAACCTGAACTAATTTCCCCTTTGAGTACCATCTTCATCGGATATTAAACTTTCTCCACCAATTTAGTTATAATTTTTTTAAGAGCTAAAAAGTGGCCAGAGCTTAGTAACCTCAGTCTGTAAAGCTGAGATGAAAATTCCCTTCACCAAAGCCAGTCCTCAGGTGCTAAGAGCCAGCAGGGCCACAGAAAGAAGTCAGAGGACCATTGGAAAAGCCCATCCCAGATCTGTATTTGAAGTGGCCGAGGCCACCAAACCAGATGCACCAGAGACTGAGGCGTGGAGATGCAGAAGAGCCATGCCAAAACTGTGGGGTATCTTCTCCTCCTCTGGTCTGAGACTATGGGGCTGTAAGACGGGGGACAGGCAGGCTTCCTGGCCCCCAGAGGCAACAGCCCAGGGACCACAGGGCTCAGAAGCTAAGGACTGAAGAGAGACTTGCCTGCAGGCTGAAGAGGGGGGTTTCTGTGGACCGACAACTATAACCTTACTGTTTACTGATCCTGACTTGTGGTAACCTATTGGCTTCCATAATAAATCCTTTAATCGTGGGGGGAAAAGATGAAATAAAAATCATTATCCCCACCTCTTTCATCTCCTTTGCAGTATCTTTGAACTCCTAAATCCATCAACAGTTTTATCATCATTCTAATATGTGAACACACCTGCTTCTTTCATAAACTGTAATGGTTATGATTTTTTTGCAACAGGATACCTCCGTTTTCAAAA